GCTCCTCAGAAAATCAGGCCCTAAGTCATTTTAAATCTTTCACAGACATGCTTCTAACAACAGGAGTATCTTCAAAAGGGCCTCTTCTGTAGAACTTAATAGCCAGGCAGATTTTTAGCAAAGCAGCTCCTCAGAAAATCAGGCCCTAAGTCATTTTAAATCTTTCACAGACATGCTTCTAACAACAGGAGTATCTTCAAAAGGGCCTCTTCTGTAGAACTTAATAGCCAGGCAGATTTTTAGCAAAGCAGCTCCTCAGAAAATCAGGCCCTAAGTCATTTTAAAGAGCACTATTTTAAGTCCAGCAAACACCTGACAACCAATGCAAGCCTTTGAGTACTGGCATTATGTGTACCTTGGCTTCGGTTAACAGCCTAGTGTTTGCATCTTGCACGAATTACACCTCCTTACCCTTTTTGAGGGTAGTCCCACATAAAATGCATTATGATTGTCAAGACAAGATGTAAGCCATGGATAACTTACACCAGTTCAATTACCAGGCATAAAGAGTTCTTTGCCACAGCTGCCACTTGCAGGTCCAGTGACAGCTGAGAATTAAGTAATCTCAGACTGTGACCCAGCTTTTTCAGGATGACAACTTATCCCAAACTGGCTGAGCCTCTCAAGATCAAAAGCCTCTATTTTGTCTGAATTTAATTTCAGCCTGTTCTCATTCAGCCTATTATCAACACTCTGGATTATCTCCCTAAATATCCTTCATTGAGCAGCATGGAGGAAAAGATGTGCCTTATAGGATACCACAGGTAAACAACACAGGTGTTAACAGCAGTCCCCCAGCGCTGCCTTTTAGACACTACTTGATAAGAAAAATCCAAATCACTATAAAACAGCTGTCCTGAAGCCCAGTGCTTCCAGGCGATCTGGTGTCAAAGCTCCCCAAGAGATATCATGACCCAGGAATCAGCCAATGACTCTGAATATGAAGAAGCTGCTCCAGCAGGACCTGTGGAATGTCAGCCTCAGGAGATACAAAGCCAAGAATTACATAAGGCTGATCAAACACAGCCGCCACCTGAGCAGCTGGGGAAGTCAGATGAGGATGATGTAAGGCCGCCCAGGCTCTGCACCTGGTGAGGAGAGCAGAGCAGAGATGTTCTATGAGGCTCCTTGCCAAGCAAGGGAGTATATCTCTTGATTAGAGACCATTGGCTGCAGCCTGATTTGAGAGGCAGCCCTGACCCACAATCCCTTATTGGAAGCAACTGTCTGTTCTCTGGCTCTTGCCTGACATTCATGTGGATTCTGCTGGCTAACAACCCTGACCTGGCTCTTGGAAGCTTGGGCTGAATATGTACTATTCTTCTGCACGCTCCTGTTAAAACAAACCATTCAGGCAAGCATCTGTCAGAGACTCTGTTTTGATTGGCATTCTTTGCCTACTGTTATCTCACTGACCCTGAGTAAACTGTTCATTACCATAGCAACTATGTGTGTGTGTATTTGAAATCAAAAGCAGGACAGGAGGTCCAGAATTCATAGAGCTGCATTCCTCACCCCATAAAACCTCCAGGTTAGTCACCCATCAACTTACCAAGGAAATGTTATTATACTCTTGCCAAAAGGCCAACTGAAATGGGTCCAGATAATCAATAACTTTGAAGGCATAGCCAGATAGCCATGCAACTGTCAGTTGTTGAGCTGGCAGAAAAAAGATACACTGGCAGAAATTTTGCTGTCCTGAAAACTGAGCCCTATTTCATCTCATTAGAGGCCAATGAGTGGTGCTGTTCTTACAGTTACAGAGGTGACTATAATCTGTTTTACAGTAACCATAACTCTGTCTTACAGAGGGCACTAAGGAAAGGGATTAGTGGATTCCCTTGGCTTCATTTCCCCTTCCACTGAGTGTCACTTATCAGTGGGAAAAACCACCACCAATCACTTTCCTTAACATGTGAAGGGAGCTGAGCAAGTGTAGGCAGGTGCTTTGAATGATGGATTTAATGACGTGTTGCCTAAAGGTGCAGAAGAAGGCATGAATCTAGAAGTGCTGCATGCGTGTGGGGAGGGGGACATGTGTGTCTACTCTAGTCATTTTAAGAAGCATCTCTGCTTTCAGTGCTAGTGGCCACAAGGTATGCCTTTTTACATTGTATAACTCCTGGACTCAGGAGGAACAGGAAGGCTAACAAAGGAATCTAGGAACCAAGGACTGTGTCCTCCTGCCTTTTCTCTCTCTGCTTGGGAACAGAGGGATTCTAGCCTGCCATTTCTAGGGGTGTCCTCATCGTAACAGTAGAGGTGAATGGATCTGCATCTCAAAGCAGCCTTTTGGTAGCTGACCAGCATCTAGCCTGCTCCATTCTATGGAACAGTCTACATTGAGACCATCACTTCAGGCCTACTTAGCAAAACAGCCTGGCTATTGCATGTTTTTATCCAAAAATTCCTTTCTCCTGCAAAGGCTGCAGATTCTAGCAGCCCTGATGAATCTCCTTACCAAGGTCAAGGGACTCTAGGCTCCCCATAAGTTTATCTTGCCTTGCTTCAGAGAGATGGATTGCCAGAAGCTGCCACCTGATCTATACTTACCTGAGTAAAAACACACTAAAAACAGTGGGATACCCTGTGAAGTAACTTGGGTGTGCAATTGCATGGGCTCCCACTAACACTGCCCACTCCTGAACAGATACAGTGCTTAGTAGTTAGCGGAAATCTTGACATTCATCACTTGGCTTTCTTCTCCCTCTGTATTCCTTGACATTTATTCACTGCACCAGGGAATAAACATGGAAAGGCAATTTCAGCCCAGGACCCTCATTCCTCCATTGCTGCTAGCACCTCCAGCATTTTGCCCCATTTTCTTTCCTGGGATCACACAATTCTTCATAAAATTCATCCCTTTCAATTTCCCATGGCCAAAGACTGGCTATCTTTTGAGGTTCCACATGTCCAAAAAGGGGAAAGCAGTCTGCCAATGTCTGGGTCTCTAATTGAACTAGTTACAATTGGAAACTAGTACTGGCCAGGCCTGGTGAGCTCTCACAGTTTAAATCAACTGTACACTAAACCTGGGCTTATAAAGGGCCTGCTTAAACCTGACAAACCAAAGCTGGTCAATGTCCAAAATAAAGTACTTTTGACCCAATAAGATCTTTGGAAAATACTGGTCAGGCATTACATGGGCAGAAACTGGTTATCTCCAGCCCAAACCAAAGCAGTCATGAAGAGAAGTGCCTAGCAACCTGAGAGAAGGGGACAGGCCCATAACAGCCTATAATGACCAATAGGAGCTAGGGAGATCCAAGCTCTTGGTACCATCCTCCACACCATTTATGAAGCCCCTTAGGTTATCTCCATGGCAGGTAACTTAAAACTGCTTCAGTTCTGGGCTAGGGATGAGAAGGAAATGCCATGGCCTAGCGTATAAAAAATGGTTACTGTGGCATGTTTGTGCTAGATTTAGGGGAACATGAGGAACGCTCATATATTTAGAGCTGCAAGGCCACCACCTTCTCCAGGAACTGTATGAATCTAATCCAATCCAATCCAATCCAATTCACTCATTCCCAGGTTGTTTTACATTCTCTTTTCTCCCTTTTTCTTTATGCATCTCTTAACACCAGGCTACAAAACAAACAAAGAAAAAAAATCTCCCCAAACCCAATAATCTAAATTATTCTTCCTCTCTCTCTCTCTCTCTCTCTGGAATGTGCACAAATATATAATCAGAAGTGGGATGCCCTCAGTCGCAGGGTTTTGGGGCTCCCAAAGGGGAACCCAGGACACAGTTCCTTTAAAGCACCAGCCTCAGAATCTCTGGGAAGATGGGCTCTTCTAGAAGCACTGTGGTAACACAAGAGAGTTGTTTTCCAGACAGGCAGGAGCACACATTTCCACTTTATCACTATCTATTTGGTCCTAGCTGTGGTCTTCTCAATCTCTGCTCATAGGAGAAGTAGAAAGGAGAGTAAGAGGTATATCCTAGTTGGTGGTACTTATGAAGCAACAAATCTGTACTTTACCTGGCCTAAGAAACACATCTCTGGAAAATGTCAGTCTTAATAAAAGTGGTATGTTTTATTCTGCAATAAGCTAAGTAATTGATATGTAAATGGAACAATTAACTGCCAGGTAGTCATGGAATGTTCACTGAACATTTCTGTTGAAGAAACCAGGAGCTTCATTTGATATAGTGTCTTAATCCAGTGAATGGCATAATGCATAACTGTAACCATGGGAAGTGTCCTTTTCCTTGTGTTTCTCAGTGATAAACTATGCATGGCAAACCACTTCTGAAATTGAGAAACTATTTGCAATTTTGTACAGCTGTTTACATCAGAAGAAATGGAGAAACATTCTGGTTATCACCTGGGCATACTCAACAGTAAATAAGGTTTTTAAAATCCCAGTGATTGAGTTGAAGGAGGTAATTAAATTTTTGATTGCACATTTATCAATGCAATATATTGGACCATTTATCAGGGTCCAATATATTGGACGATATTTATAAATTATGTGCAGCTGTTTATTTATACCTTACTCTGCTTGATAATATTTAGTTGTGATTCTTCAACATATTTATCTTTATCTCAGTACCATGCTGTGCTCATTTCAAATTGTGACAGTTTTGTGTTTTCTTTAAAACAAATTAAAACAAATGTTTTAAATGATGTTTTAAAACATGTTTTAAATATATTACCCCTGGATCAGTGGACTGAATTTTTCAAGATGAAAGTAAAATTTACTGATGAAACAAGTTCTTTATAAGCAAGATCAAAAATCAACATTTTATATCACATGCATCTTTTTTAGAGCCAAGATTTGTGGGGCATTAAGAGACATCTGTGGGACACTGTGGGGCATTAAGAGACATTTCAGAAGTTCCCAACTATGACTTGCTTGTTGTTTAAAAAATTGTACTATGATTGTTTTTCATATGCAAAATAGATTTCATATAAAGCCACATGCATTTTTCATACAAATGTTAAAACACTTTGAATCATTTATAACACAAATAAATTAGCCTGAAACAAGAGCAGGGTTACTCAAATTTATTTCTAGCTATAAAACAGTACATCAAAACACTCTATTAAATCAGGCTTTTTTAAAACAGTATTCAGCATCTGTATTTCAGAATGCAGCATAAAACTGATGCAGATTTTTACTAAAGCTTACTTGAATTAATGCAGAAACCAGATGGAGTTCATTAAATCTAGACATACAGGGATTAAAAATAAATCCCTCAACACATCCAGAAAGAAGTTATTTTAGTATTTGGAAATGAGAAGCTTGAGCATCTTCTTCTGAATACTTACAAGTAAAATAAAATCTCCTACTTCAGTGTCATCAATCTCATATTTTCCCATTAACAAGCTGACAGAACTGCTTGGGATTCTGAAGTGAACATTATACAATTTTCCAGTTAGAAACTTACAATAAATGATTTTGCAACAGCATTTAATGAAGTCTTGAATAATTAAGAATCAACCTAGCTATGCCACAAATAGTTATGCATTTATGTTATTGACTTCTCTAATGATTAAGCAACCATCTTCTCCTCCGAAGCATATGTATCCTGTTTTATTTAAAATATTGTTCCATTCATAGAATGTTAAAACATCATTAACACATTCATCTATGTCACTGCATTAATTATACAAAAAGTAAAACAATTCCACAGTACATTTATTCAGTCAAAAAAGGTTTCACAAAAATATGTGGGTTGGTTTTGAGGAATTGAGTTACAATCAGTGGGTACAATACTGACAAACATGTACCTCTATTTTTAAACTTTGTTCTGACAAGAAAATGTTCCTATGGTACTCCAAGCCTTAAAGAGCTATAACTATAGAATATACCAGCACCTGGAAAGCTTAATATAACAAATTCTGCTGAGGCAAGCAAAATACATCAATTGGTAAGTGTATACGAGAGATTATATGTTTGCATGTGAGAGAGTGTATTTATGTATTTAAAACTTCCATTTTTCTCGGTCAAATTCTTTCAAGAGTGTCTATACTTTGGAAAGAAGTCCTGACTCTGGAGCACTTGCCTTAATGAGGTTCTGGATTTCTTTGAATTTGGGATGATCTTTGTCAGCTATCAGCTGCAGCAATATAGCTTCACTAGTGGTAACAATAATCCCAGTTCGAGCAAGGCGCTGGAAAAAACAAAACAGGCAACTAGAATCAACTATCTGCTGAGAAACATTTGAACAATAAACCCACAGACTTTACATTTCCTCATGAAAATGCATTATAATTTATCTTAAAGAAAAAATCCAATCTTTTTGAAAATAATTTCAGTTCTTTGAAATTACAATTGAGATTAACAAAACAAGATAATAAATAACAATTATAAATGAACTAATAAATAAAAATGGTCCCAAGCAAGGCTTTTATCATCCAGTCATCACTTCTCCTGTTCCTTCACAGAATTTTATGGAGTGTCTGGACAGTAATATCTTCCAGTTGTACCCCTCCTACATTTTCCCATTTCTTTGTCCATGTTGCTCTCCCACAAAGAATATATTAAAGAGCTAAATGTGAAATAGATGCATTGATTTGCATGTTAAAGCATTATAAATTAGTCATATAGATGATAACAGACAATTCCTTATACCCTTGATAAAATAAATGAAGCTTGGGATCAAGAAGATACCTCTCATGTTACATTCACCTTTGTGTCTGTATTCTGAGAAATCTCTCCCATTAAGAAAACATGCTTTGATGTTTCTCATCTAATGAAAGGAGAGGAAGATGTTGGAATGTCTTTCAAAGATCTTAGCAGAGTGTTAATTGTAATAATTTTGTTTTGTTTTATTCTTGGTGTTTTATAATTGTTCTAAGCTGCCTTGGGTTTTGGGATAAACAGAAAAGTGGGGTATAAATTCAGTAATAAATTTTTAAAAATCAGATTAGCAGAACTGCTTTTGACAATAACCAATATATACAGAAAAGATATCACTTTTTGCTTTCAACAGGTACAGTAAATTACAGTGTCACTAAAAATCCTCAAGTAATAAGCAGTCTCATTTTATACCACCTAAAGCCTTGACTAATCTGTCCCACTGAATTTAATGGGAACAAGTTTAGTCTGGATGCAACCCAATATAGATGCAGTTACTGACTTTGTACAAGCAAAAGGTAGACAGTTCTTGCCAATGTTCTACAATCAAAAACAAACAATTCACTGGGTCTAATTTACATTAACTTGGTAAATCCTCCTTTCACAAAAAGTAATTCTATGCATATATCCCAGGACAATGGTACACCTTAACAGTAGGTCAGCTTTGTAACTGGCATCATTAATTTCTCTATCAGTGAAAGGGAAACAATTTAAGAGGATTTAAAAAATACTTTATGACTATGAGAGGATTCTGCATTTGTCAGAACTGCCTGTCTCAAATACTAGACTGCTCGGCTGATTATGTATTTCTGTGTTGTACATAAAAATCAGAACCAGAGCAGTGCATCTTATCATTTTATGAATAACTGAAAAAATGTGTTACCTAATGCAATCACTGTTATAGCAAAATTCTTTATACTATCCTTTTCTACAGATGTTAATTTAGTTCCTTTTGCAATATTTCAAGAATTAATTTCCTTAGGGAGTCTGCTCCATTGTCAGGCTGGTGTTACTATAAAAGCTTTTTCCGCTGTGCCTGAATCAACTTTGGTGCCCTAAATTAATTATTTCTTAAGTGAGTACAATGTAACTTTTTTTTTTTTAGTTATATGGTTTAAGGATTGCTTTTCTATCCAAATCAAGAATTCCACATTCCATTTTATAATAAAACTATGTTCTATATGCTGAACAGAACTGTATCTTAGAACATATCTATTAGGGTGACTCAGTATATTCTTAAGCATTTTTCAGTTATTAAGAACAGGACTGGGGAGTGCAGATGTCCTGGTCCTACTGGATCTTTCAGTGATGTTCAATACTTTCTATCATGGTATCCTTCTGAATTGCCTGTGAACAGTGAGCGTGGGGAACACCATTCTGCAGTTGTTCTATTTTATAAGTGGGTTGTTTCAATGATGGGTGAACAATTGAGCACTTGGCCACTCCTGAATAGGCTCAGTCCACCAGGCTGAGTTGTTTCCTCCATGTTCTTTAATATCTACATGAAAATGCTGGGAAAGAGAATTTATTGTTCCAGGGTGAGGTTATTAGCATGCTAATGATAGCCAGTTACAGATAGGAGATGCTATGATTGTTCCTACATGGAGGCAGTAAAAGACTGGCTGGGACAAAACAACCTGAAATGGAATCCTAGGATGAGAGAAATACTGTCTATCCATATGCTGTCAGGTTTGTAAGTGACTGCACTTCCCCTGAAAGAAAGGCTGTGAATCTCCTGAATTCACAGCATCTATTTGATCAGTAGGTGAAGGCCATGGCCAAGGGAACCTTGGCCCAGCTTCAGATGGTGTGCCAACTGCAACCCTTTTTGGACTGAATCACTCATAACAGTGACTTAGGCCCACTCTTGAGACTTGATTACTACAACACACTCAGTTGGGACTTCCTCTGAAGATTACTTGGAAACTTCAGCTGGTGCAGAATGTAGCAACCCATGATGAGAGTCATGTCAGCAACATTGTATCTATATTATAAGTGCAGCATTAGTTGCCAGTATGTTCTGTAGTACGTTTCATGATGCTGCTTTGACTTAGAAGGCCCTGCATAGTTTAGATCTATATTACCAATGAAATAATCCTGTCCTGTGTGATCACACCAAAAAACAATGCTGTAGGTCCCTCCCTTCAGTAAGTTAGAGAAGGGCTTGGAAACAAGCTTTTTCTGTGGCAGCCCTGTTACTCTTGAATATTCTATCCCCAGAGGTCCAGATAGCCGCCACACTTTTAGAATTCAGGAAAGTGGAGAAGATGTTGTCATTTCATTGGACTCCCGGGGCATGGAGGTGCTTTGTTGCTTTTAATTATACTTGTTATTTTTCTAAAAAAATATTGTTTTTTATTATTATTTATGGTATGTTTATGTAAGCCACCTGGAGTTTGTAAGATCAGGCAGAATATATATCCTCATAAATAAATAAATAGTGATGACAACCACCACATTTATGTCAGAATAACATTAGCTCAAAAACAAAATGAAGTACTTTATAGCAAAGTAATATTCACTATAATGAGTCTAATAATATTCTGGATTCCATGCAAGTAGTAAGCTTACTATTCCTGCCAGCTTGAAGGAACAGCTCTGCAAACATGTTTTTTTCATGTGTAATGTAAGGCTGGTAGGTAAAGTATGAAATACTCAATACGTCATGAAAATACAGAACCTTGGTAGTGCTGTAGGTTTCAAGAACATCTACCTTTGATAGGTATAACCTAATCTGTGGGTAGGCAACCTTTCAGACTACCTGAAAATCTACTGTTGAAAGCTTCTAAATATCATATATTTGAGGTATTTTCTCTTGTGAGATTGATTTCACTCCCAAAGCAGGAAGAATAGCTGAAACCCTTTGTTGCACACATTTATATTAGTAGGCCAGGAGGTTGTATTTAGGAAAATTATTTCATGTTTCGCATGCTACCTTTTATTCACTAGAACAGCATTATAGGAGTCTTATTCTCTCATAGATTAGAGTCAGTATGCCAAATGAGATGCCCTATAAGTTACTGGTAGCAATAACTATCAAATGGCTACACCAGGACATGGGGCAGGGCTGGGATGCACAGAGCCAGTGGGCTTCTGGAGGAAGAGATCTGAAAATGCAATCTTTCACCCAACAGACCAGTCATACCTCTACTGACGTATACAGTATTTACTTCTCTTTTTAAAAATTAAATGTGAAACTTTGAAATTAAAAAAAATATATTAGTTTCATGTTTTACAGGAATATGCATTTCAGTGTTGGAAATTTGAGAATTACTATTAAATGACAAATGTTATAAAACATGCATTTTCTTTCTCCAATTATCTTTATCTGTACTTTACATTAAATAAACATTATGCTTTTTAAAAATCAAGTCTTTTGTAATCATCAGAAACATAACGTGGAAATATATTTTGCAAAGATCTGATATTCAGTTATCATTTGTTTACTTTGTGTGTGTCACAACTATTATACAACAAAGTACATAACATTTACATTTAACCCATTTAAATTCCTTTTACAAAGCATTATCGTTCTATTGCTCTTAAAGATGTTTATCAGAAACGGAGAAACTTCTCATTTATTTTCAGAATGGCATAATCAATAATGCATGGGAGTTAAGCATGATTATTCAGTAAGATTTTTAACTAAAGGTCTGCAGAAATTCTAAAATATACTTCATGTATAATACTTGTCTCATATTAGTTATTTTTTAGGTAAATGTACTCAAGTTTTCTTTGAATGTACTTTCCTTTCATCCTTATATTTTTAATTTTCAGTTACTACTGCCAAAGAAATCAGTATAATAGAAACTGTGTTGAGCAATGGTAGAGAAGTCATATACACTGTTTTAAGAAATAGAAATATAATTTCTCCTTTTCTGTGCAATAGAAATATTTGAGACTACAGGAATACAATAATTATAAATGTTACAACTGAACAATTACTGGAGCCAATCTCACATAAATAACCATCTAAACATAATTACCTCTAGGGCAAACATTCTGTCCATCATACTTCTTGAAGAGGTTGCATCAGCCACAATATGAACTTCCAAACCTCTGCCCACTAATTCCAGTGCTGTCTGCTGAATACATACATGAGTCTTGAAGAAGAATAAAAGTAAACTATATCAGCAATTATATTTACAAATGATATTTTACCTTTATTTCAACAGTAACGCTGCTCTAGGAAAACTGCAAATATGAGATAAATGAAATACATACTTCTACTCCAAATAAAACAACACTGCGGATTCCAGGAATCTCCGCTATAGCAGCCTCAACTTCAGGCAACACCATAGAAAACTTTGTTTTGGGTAAGACAAGTTTAGCTCCAGTTAAGTCAATTTCTTGAACGGTGCTTCCAAGACCTTTAGGATACTGTTCAGTTACAATAACTGGGATTCCTAAAATCCGTGCACCTTGAAGCTGTAAAGATAAAAAACATAAAAATGAAACTGCCTATTAAAATAATAAAATATCAATAACAGTACAATTAAAATAGTAGTTGATGTTCAAAGAACCAAGTAAACATACCAATCGTTGGCTTACGCTGATAATATCTCCAAAATATTTGATAGCAGGTCTGAATCTTTCTTGCATATCGCAACAGAAAAACACAGTGCTACATGGTGTGAGATTGCCCAATGTAGTTATCTGAGATGAAGAAAGATGGAATAATAATTATGACTGCCATACAATTTTCCTGAAAATCTGTCTCATTGATCTTATATCCAAGTAGATATGTATAGGATCCCATTGTTTAAACAGAAATATTTTACATGGGTGGAAACCCAAATCCATACTATTTTTGTTCAGCAGAATATTTGACTTTTTCTTAGAATCACATATCCCCATGCTGTATTTGCTAATTCACAAAACCTCTCTTTTAAGACCAAGCTGCTGTAGTAAGGAAGGCTACTGTTTGAGAGAGAGAAATCCAAACTCCCTTCAAATGTGTGGAGTTAGTAATACAGTTTTTGGGTCCTTGTCATTATCTTTGAAGTCAACTTCAGATATGCAGTATAAACATATTTCAAAATCTAATTAACATATAAAAGACAACAGACACTGAAGCAGACCTATAAATGGGTGAATCAGACGTTTGTTTCTATAACAGACCCATGACAGTTTAAGACATACTGTAATTATTATATTATTATAATATACCGTATTTTTCCATCTACAAGACGCCCCCATGTATATGACAATCCCCACTTTTCCAACCCAAAATTAAGAAATCAATATTTTAAAGATAAAGCAGAACACAT